TACTTTCGAAAACACTTAAGTTTTATGTGATTATATAAAGTAGTGCACTTTATACATCTTGAAATTTATAAAACAACAAGTTGCACTATATAAAACATCACTTGCACTTACCTCCGCACTCTACATTTAACTTCAACAGCTATGGCCAAAATACCACACAATATAAATCTATAAAAACAGATATACATAATACTTTAACATCAGTCACATCATTTATACACACAAAATACGGTATGCTAACATACCAAAATTACAATAGTTTACTTTATGCACCATTAGGTTGCACTTTGTATAACAACATGCTGCGCTTTACAGTACAAAACGCCGCACTTTATTAATCGGATTTCACAATAGAGATCGAAACCAACCAACCTCAAAATTTTGAACAAAAAATAATATAAAAATAATAAAGAAAATTACTATCATATTAAGTATAATTTTAATATAAATTACAAATTACTTTGATTATTTAGGATAATTCAGTTAACTGAATCAAATAAATTAATTGATTATGATCATTTTCAATTTGATTTGGACCAAAAATTCGGTTGGTTCAATAGATGCAATACGTACAGACTGACACTGTGCACAATAGTGTTGGACGAATTGCATCTTAATAATTGTTAGATTGTCCACTATATATATTTTACATACATAATAATGTTTTTAATCGACAAGTAATATAAGAATTAGAATAAATATTGAAAAATTAATCATGATTTTTATAATAAATAATATAATTTATGTTGATTATAACATGTTATGTTAAATTTTTCAGTTCAAAATTTTATATTTCATTTTTTTTTTTTTTTTTTTAAAGAACATATCTATATATAATATTGCACAATTCAATTATTGGAAGAATGACGTATTTATCAATTTTATAATAATTTCGTAGGCATATGACATCATTTTTAAAGTGCATACCTACACACAAGTATTGTGCATCTAATGTGGTATTATTGTGCATAATAATTTTCATCGAATTGTAAATTGCAACCCATAAATAAAAATATACATATATTAAAAGTTATAAAATTTGCAAAATAGTCCCCTAAATATATCTAATTTCCCAAAACCAACCCTAGCCTAAAAACACCCTCCGACACTGACACCACAACCCGTCACTCACCTTGAGTCACCGCCTTCATCACCAAACGCCGCCGCCCTCATCACAAAACGTCGCCGCCATCCGCCGTTGACACCCGAGGCCATCCTAAGCCCCCAAACCCCCACATCCGAAAAAAAAACAAATAACAGCAAAAACGAAAAACATATCGACAGTTTAATCTGATTCAAGTATCGTAGCTGTCGTTTATTCTCCTCCGCCGTTCTCCCGCAGCAGCCATCGTCCGTCCGTGGACATCTTGCCTCTACAGACACCATCACCTGAACACACACACACACACACGAGTTGTATATTGTAGTCGGCGCAACGATGGCGTGGAGGACGGAGCTGGGTCGCCGGAGCATTCTGTGTCGTGGCCATCTCCGGTGACGGGCTACGGAAGCTTGGCGACTCAACTGATGGCGGCAGACGGCGGCTGAGGCAGGAACATGGTTGGTGTCAGCGGCGAAGGGAGTGGCGAGGTTGTGCGATGGTCGGGGGTCGACTGCGGTGTCACCTGCGGCGTCACCTGCGGCAGACATTGGTGGCTTCGCCGTGTTTGTGTGTGTGTGTGTGTGTGTGTGTGCGCGCGCTTATGTGAGTTAGTGTGTGAACTGTGTTTATATGTGTTACAGATGTATAATAGGGTTAAGTTTGAGGTGGGTTCCTCTGGAAGAATTGACATTATAAATATTAACCAATCTACCCTTAATTGGTGGTCAAATGCACATAACTATGTTATTACATCTTATTTACAATAATGCCACTTATGTTTGACTACCACTTATTAAAATTTGATTTGATCATTAATCGTTGATTTCATGCATCTAATGACCACAATCATTTTTATTTCTTTCACTATCTTTATTTCTCATATGATCTCATCTATATTTATATATATTATTTTTTTGTCACGTCGACGGGTAGATATACATTTTAAATAATTTTTGCTAATATTGAAATACACTATGTTACAATTGAAAATACATTGCGGTTTTATCATAACATGATCCACATTACAAAATGTATATATATGGGTATCTACGTGACATAATTTTTTAGTGCGAGAGCAGTCCAACTCATTAACATTTTATGGCCCCTCCAATTCTCCGTATCTTCCTAAGAATCTCAACATATTGATTTGCCAATTGAAATAGAGTAAGCCAATAACATGCATGGCTCATTTTTTCAATGTCCACAAAGCACCACTTTTGTGCTCCAATTTCAAAGCACACACGAGTTCAATTATTTTGACTTTGTGTACCCCAACTAACTAGATAACATCATTAAATCTTTTACCACATCTGAAGAATCTCAGGCATCATTTATCGTTTATTTAGATCACTAGAGTTTTGGCTACTAATTAAGGTTCACAGGCACCAAATGTTCCTATAATTACCCACATCATAATTCCCCGTGACAAAATCATGTTTCTTTTGGATCCAAGACAAATTAACAATGCACGGCCTATTTAGAGCTACAAATAGTAGGGGTGAGCGTAGGTCGGTACGGTTCGGAGATTGATAAATCTCCGGAACCGTACCAAAGTTCGGATATCCCAAAATTCGATCTCCGGAACCGTACCAAAAAGTCGGTTTGGTTCGGTTCGGAGATTTTTATTTTTCGGTTCGGTTCGGTTCGGTATTCAGGGCTATTGGGACGGTTCGGTTTGGTATGGTTTGTTTCGGATCTTCGGAGATTTCTTATATTTTTTTAGATTTTTTTTTGAATGACTACCTAGTTATATTTTAATTTTTTTATGCTTTAAAAACAACATTCATCAATAATTCATCATATTGAAGATTTTATTTTGAAATCAATTTTAGAAGTAACTCTAAATTTTAGTTATTTAATTTTTATATGTTTTAATAAAACCAACATTCATCAATACTTCCTCATATTAAAAAATTTATTCTGAAATCAACTTTATAAGTAACTCTAAGTTTTAGTTAAGACTAAATTTGTGCAACTAATATTCAAAATTGAAAATTTCTTTAACCTTTCATATTATTTTAAATAATTATTTTATTATAGAAAAATTCAATCGTAGATCAAGTATTACTAAGCATGAAAGTTAAGTGAAGGTTAATAGTTATTATTATTATATTATATAGGATTAAAGGTGGCATAAAATATACTAATAACACATCTAATGTTACAATTCGGTTCTTAATTTCAGTTCTTCGGTTCGGTACGGGACGGTTCGGTTCAGTTCTCGGTACGGATATTTGTGAAATCTCCAGAACTGTACCAATTATTTTTTCGGTTCGGTTCGGTTCGGATAAAGTCAAACGGTCAACGGTTATTTTTCGGTTCGGAGTGATTTCTGTTCGGTTTTCGGAACAGTTCGAAATTCTCCGAGTCTCATGCTCAGCCCAAACAAATAGAGTCCAGTGCATTATATTTTGAGGAAATGCTACAATTCTGTTGGAATTTGTAACCGTTAGATCATCATGTAATCGTCATAGACAGTTGATCTAATTAACGGTTACAAACCCCAACGAAATGGTTCCGTAACAGACCGTAGCATCTTCCTATATTTTGACACTTCTCAACTATTGTATATATAAATTTGCTTTATCTAGAAAAAAAAAAACAAAAAAACAAAA